GGGCCCCCTTTCCCCCCCGGGGGAAAGCCCCCCCCCCCCCCCCCCCCCGGCGGGCTATCCCATACAGGAGGGGGGCGTCGGCGCGATGGTCTGCAGCCTGCCGCTGGCGTCGCGGCGCGAGAGCAGCTGCGCAAGGTAGTCGGTCTGCAGCGACTCGGCGCCGTCCGAGATGTAGCAGTACGAGTCGTTCGGCGACTCGAGCAGCTGCACGCCCACCTGGAGCTTGTGCGCCTGGTTCAGCACGGCACACACCTCCTTCACGTGCGTCTTGCCGCCCACGTACAGCAGCGTGCGCTCAACGTACGTCATCTTGCCCGCGACCTTCTTGTGCGGCACGCGCTGCACGTGCGTCGGCAGCTTGATTCGGTAGAACCTCGCAAAGATGATGAACAGCCGCGACACCTGGTGAGGTCGTGCTCGAGGGTGTAGCCGCCGCCGTTCCGAAAGTGCGAGGCATCCGGCTCCGCGATGCCCTTGTACTTGGCGGCCTCCGCCCGCGCCTCCGCCAGCTGCTCGCGCAGCAACGCGTTCTCCTCGGCAATCGGCTCGATGTCGTAGAAGCGGCGGTTGGCGCGCATGTCGTACGCGGCAATCTTGGCCTGCAAGTCCTCCGTCCGCTTCTTGAAGTACTTCAGCTGCTCGGCATCCCGCTGCCGCGACCTACGGAGACAGGTCGGTCGGGCGGCGCGGCGGCGGTCGACTATCTCAGCTATACTCACTGGCTCCGAGAGCCGAGCTGCTGCTGCAGCTCCTCGAGCTCGTCCTGCAGGTCGTTGCACCGCTTCTCAGCAGCCTCCCGACGCGCGTCCGCCTCGCGCACGGCCGACCAGACGCGCCCGGACATGGCGCGTTCGAGCTCGCTCGCTGCCTCATCGGCCGCCGCCACCGCCTGCCGCCCCGCCGCTCTGAGAGCCACCTTGGCGCCGCGCAGCCCGCGCTCGAGCTCGGTGATGATGCGCTCGAGCTCGGTGATCTTCTCGCCCGCCGTCACGCGCTCGGCGCGCGCCTCGGCTCGCAGCACGTTGTACTTTGCCGCCGCTGCGGCGCGCGCCTCCTTGAGATCCATCTCGTGCTCACGCCGCGCCGCCTCCATCGCCGCCTCCGTCGCTCGCCGCTCATCCGCAGCCTGGTCGCGCAGAGCCGCGGCCTGGCGGAGCGTGCGTTCCGCCCCCCGCTTGCTCGCCTGCGCCGCCGTCACGAGCTCTTCCGTCCGCCGCCGCTCGTCGTCCAGCTGCTTCCGCAGCGCGATGGCCTGGAGCTCGTGCGTCTCTGCGCGCCGCGCACGGGATAGCTTGACCTGTCGCACCGTACCGTCGATGATGCGCAGCACGTCGAGCGGGAGCTCGCCCAGCCGATCGGACCACCCGGTAGGGCCCGTGCTCTGCACCCACCTCTCCGCTGTCCGGTCCCAAAAGTACGGCCGGGTGCCCTTTGCGAAATCGCAGTGGGCGCCCGCCGCCATCAGCGTGAGCTGCGTCGCAAGGGTGCGAGTGCGGACGTCGAGAGGCCCCGGCGCCGGCTGCGTCGGCGCGGGAGCCGTGGTGGCGGTGCCGCTACCGCCGGGATCGCCGCCGCCCCCACCGCCCGCCACCTCGGCGAAGGAGAAGTTGAGCGGCTCGCGGTCGTAGAGCTGCATCAAGTGCCGCTGCGCCTCAGCCTGATCGAGCTGCTTCAGCATCTCGTCGCGGGAGCGCTTCTTCATGCGCTCCTTGTAGTCGGCGACGAGTCCGAGGTACGTGCGGTCGCTCTTGACGTAGAGAGTGCGCCGCAGCCGCATTATGGCGGCTTCCGACGGCGCTGCGATGGCGTAGCCCAGAGAGAGTGAGGCGATGACGAAGAATATGTCCTTCCAAGCGAGGTGCCTCAGCCGCCTCTCCTGGAAGAGCAGGTAGATCTGAATGGCCACCGCTTTCGTCACCGTGACACCTGATGGAACTGGCACGGAACCGCTGACCAGATCGAGCATGAGCTGCTGAGCAGCCTCGCTCTCAGGGTCGAAGGGTGGGACGCCGCCGCCAGCGCCCCACTGCCAGCAAATCTGGACCGCCGCCTGCGCCTCGGGACCATCGAGGCCACGCTGCAAATCGCAACGGTCATCGCCGCAAAGGTCCGTAGAAGTGGTAGGTTGCCTCCGATTTTCCGTAGCGGCGGTTCCATCACCTGCAGCGGCCGCCGAGCGGGCCCGTCATTTTTTGGGCGCCGAACCGGCGCGGATCATGCGACTCGAGCGACGGATGAGGACACGGGGTTCGACGTAATGGACACGGGCACCGCCGCCTGTGGGATGCACCGGCAGCGGCCACCCACGCACGCACGCACGGGGAGCTACACGGGGCGGAGAGCCCATTGGGAGGTACCGCCCATGGCGAAGGGCCCTTGCAGATCCTTGCAACGAGCTCGATCTCAACCGAATTTAGTTTTAGCTGCGAAACGACTCAGCGGCGTCCCAGAGGGGGGGGGGGAGCGACCGGCCTACACATACTCGCACACAACAACCCTGCTAAAGCCGTAATACTGGAACAATTTTTTTGCCTCTTCTTTCTAGAGTTTGCTTCTCGAAGTCGGAACACAGTACAAGTACTCATCTGTGACCCACACGGTTGCACGCGGCAGACTAACTCTCCACAGAGGACCGGGGGGCGGGGGGCGACGAACTAACAGCGGCGGCTTTGCGCGTGTGGCGGCACAGGACAGACAAGACACGGGGCGGAAAATGCTGGCGGTGTGCGATCAAGCGCAGGAAGGTTGAAGGAAAGTTCCAGGGGGGGCGCGCGCGAGGCGCGAGTTTCGAGGTTGGCGCCGGCTGTCGCCGGGCGGCAGGAAGGCGCCGTGGATGGCCAGCAGCTCACTGCGCGGCCGCCGAGGCGGGCTCCGGCTTGTACTCCTCACTTGCCGCCGCCCGACCCTCCTGCTTGGACTGGTAGTCCTTGATGGCGGCCTTGACGGCGTCCTCGGCGAGCATGGAGCAGTGCAGCTTCACGGGCGGCAGCTTGAGGTGCTGCGCGATGACTGAGTTTTGGATCTTACTCGCCTCGTCCATGGACTTGCCCTTGACCCACTCGGTGGTGAAGGACGAGCTCGCAATCGCAGAGCCGCAGCCAAACGTCTGCGCGCGCGGGGCGGGGGGCGCGCTCAGGACGGCAGCGGGCCATGGGCGGCTCCGGCGCGGCGCACGGGGCGGCGGGGGAAGGGCAGGAGGGGGAGGGGGAGGGGGAGGGGGACGCGCGCCTTGAAGACGGCGTCCTCGATCTTGCCGTCCTTCCCAATCTTGAGCTGCAGCTTCATCACGTCGCCGCAGGCCGGCGCGCCAACAAGACCCGTGCCGACAGTCCACGATCCTACCGTTGTCGAATGGATCCGTACGTTCGCGAGAGCGTCTGAGGAGTGGTCGATGATGTTCTTGTGGTAGCCGCGCCGCGCGACGGCGAGGCGGAGCGCGGCAGGCGCAGGGCGCACAGAGCGCGCCAACATGGAAGCGAGGGCGCGACGTCCAGGAAGCTCTCGCTCAGGCAGCCGAAAGAAAATTGCGGACCGCTTCTTAGCTCCCCTGTCCTGAGAGAACAAGGGAACGGCAGGCGGCGGCGGCGCAGGACGAGGCAGAAGAGAATGACGCGACAGAGGAGGAAGTGACAAGGGAGAGAACGACGAGAGTGGGACGGCCGCGAGGTGGCATGAAGGTTGCAGCGAGAATCGGCGAGAGACTGCGAAAAGAGATAGGAAGAGGCAGACTCCCTAGGGTGGGCGACGGCTAGCGCATCACACTCCTCTCCTTAAAATCCCTGTGTGGTGGCGGCGTGCCGTCCTCCCATCCCTCCCTTGGGTTGTCTGTTTTCTTTCTTTTTTTTCTGTCCTGAGGCAGAAGAGAACGACGCGACAGAGGAGGAAGTGACAAGGGAGAGAACGACGAGGGTGGGACGACCGCGAGGTGGCATGAAGGTTGCAGCGAGAATCGGCGAGAGACTGCGAAGAGAGATAGGAAGAGGCAGACTCCCTAGGGTGGGCGACGGATAGCGCACCACACACCTCTCCTTAAAATCCCTGTGTGGTGGCGGCGTGCCGTCCTCCCATCCCTCCCTTGGGTTGTCTGTTTTCTTTCTTTCTTTCTTTTTTTCCTGTTCTCCCATCCCTCCCTTGGGTTGTCTGTTTTCTTTCTTTCTTTCTGTCCTGTTTTCTTACTTTCTTTTTCCCCGGTCCTGGACGTGAGGTTGCTGACTGCGCTCCAAGTGCTCCAAGCGCTCGCGGCTGTCACTGGTGGCGGCGTGCCGTCCTCTCATCCCGCCGACCGCACTCCAAGTGCTCCAAGTGTGTGCGTGTTTCTTGTGGAGGCTGGAGCTCTAACACTGACTACGACCTACAACCTAGCCACAAGTCCTCCCGTGAGCCGTTGTGCGCGTTGGTGACGGCGGTTCTTTTCTTTCAAGTCACACCCGCTGCTTTGGCGGCAACTACTACTCGTAACTAACTGCGCGCGGCGTCGCACGGCGCCGTGGCTGGCGCGTGCAGACGCGTGCCGCTGCGAAACCCGGGTCGTCTGCGAGGCCCCCTCTTCTCTCTCACTCGCCCTTCGGCTTTGGGCCCGCAAGGACGTGCAGCACTTGCGTGAAGACGAGCTTGCCCCAGTACATTTGCAGCGCCGAGAAGGCTATGCCGAAGCCGATCACTCCATACAGCGCAGCATCGGGCGCGGCTGGCCGCTCCTCTTGCGGAAGCGCGAGCGTCGCGAGCATGTCCGGCACCGCCTGTGAGCCGACCACCCACGGGAAATAGACGGCCCTTAGCGGCAGGTACGCGGCGGCGAAGCAGACGCGGGCGAGCTCGTTGACGGCGCGGCAGAGCGGCGAGGCCTTCTCGTACTCGAACCAGCCGCCGCCCCGGCGGACGTGCTTCTCGTGCTTTGGGTGGAAGACGTCGACGATCGAGAGCGGGATGCCGCTGACCTGCGCACACGGCGGCGACGGCGGCGGGACGCGTCTCATGGGCACAGGGGTTGTGGCGCGGGCGTGATTAGAGGGTGCGGGGCGTGGCCGGGCCTCACCTCGATGGCGCCGAAGAAGAAGACGGCGTAGTAGCTGCAGAGCGGGCTCAGCGTCGCGTACGCGACGGCGGCCATCCCAAAGTGGTGCGCCAGCATGAGCGGCTCACGAAGGCTCGGCACGAGGAGGCCGCAAGGGATGTCCCACAGCAGCAGCTCGCCGTACACCAGCTGCGCCAGCTGGCCTCCGAGCCGGTGCTCGTCCAGCACGCGGCCGCTCAACGAGGTCGGGACCGCTGCTGAGAGGAACCAATCCTGGACTCCGACGCAGGCGAGGCCAATCATGAGCGGGAAACAGATGCACTGGTGGGCGGTCAGACCGGGCAGCCTCCGCCACGGGCCGTCTGGCAGCAAGTAGGAGAAGGCGACGAAGAGGAGCAGCTGGGCTGCGAGGCAGGAAACCCCAGCCGCGAGGGCTAGCGGGGTGAGGCCGACGGCCTGGGCGAGCGGCGTGGCCGCGAGCGGAATGAAAAGCGCCTCCTCTAGCTCGGCGAGCAACATGTACATATGGAGCGGCCGCAATGCTTACCCCGGATGAAAGAATTCCGAAATAGTCTCCCGTCCGAGCCGTCCCTGATCCCTCAGTCGCGCTCCCAATACGCGCATCACTCGGCGCCTACCATAAATAAATAGATAACTACCATGCTCAGATGCTCATGAAAGTAGGCGCAATCGATCGGGCGCGCCGTCCTCCCATAAATGATTAATTAAATAAATAGTCATCTCCAGTCGCGGTCGCGGCCAGCGCGTGAGGCCTGGCTAGGGTTGCCGGGCGAGAGCTCGCATCCCTCCACTCGTATTTTTCTTTTTTCCTTTGGTTGATGTTTTCCTTCTTTTTTTCCAGTCCCGAGTCCGAGCCTGACTGTGTTCAGTGTTCTTCTTTTAACAAACACTCTCTGAGTCTGACTCTGTTCGTCTTCGCCTTCGGCTATCTAATCTAATCTGCGCACGGCGCCCTGGCTATCATTGTACACCGCCACGCGCGCAATCATCCTCGCGGGGTCGTCGTGGCCGTCGAGGTCGAGGAACGAGGCGACGATAGCGCCGTCGCGACCAAAGGCGAGCGAGGCGTCCCGTCCGTACCCGCGCGGGCCGCACGAGGCGTCAAAGAGGCGCCACGAGCCGCAGAGCGGGTCGCTGCAGCGGAGCACCCGCAGGCAGCCGCGCGAGGGCGAGGCCTCGACGAAGTAGGCGAGGGCCGGCGCGCCGTGCGGCGAGAGGGCGAGGTCGGGGAAGGCGCCCGCACCAAAGTCGCTGCGCCGGGGGCGGGGCGGAGGTGCGGGCGAGGGAAGGGGAGAGCGGCGGCGGGGGCGGCGGCTGGGCGGGCGACTTGTGGGCGCGGCTTCCTTCGCCTGATGTCCCCGTGGAAGGCGGTGGCGTCGACCAGCACCTTAAGGGGGCGAGGGCGTCGCCACGGATCACCGTCCGAGGCCGAGGCCGAGGGCTGCGGCTGGGGCGCTGCGGCGCTGCGGCGCTGCGGCGGCTCGGCGCGGTTGCGGCGGCTCGGCGCGGCGGCGGCGGGGCGGCGGAGCGAGCGGACCGGCGCGTCGCAACGGCGAAGCAGCCGGAAGCAGCGCGCCAGGAAGAGCGAGTGGCGGGCGAGGTCGAAGAATGTGAGCAGGAGCGCGTCCTGCGGCGGGCGGGCGCAGCAGGCGGACTCGGTGTCTCGCGCCCGGCGCCCGTGCCGGCGCCGGGGGGGGGGAGAGCCTTCCCGACCGCGAGGAGGCGCGCCCAGGCCCCGGGGTTGACCATGCCGCCCGCCGCCGCCACGCCCGCACCGCCGCCCTGCGCCACCACCACGCTCGAGCGCCTAGCACGATGCGCCGACGCAGCCGTCGCGAGGGGCAGGGCGGGGGCGTCCGGCGGCGAGTGGCGAGCGGCGGGGCCGTGGGTCGGCCGTGTCGAAGACGAGGCGCAGCCGCCGGCCCGAGATGTCCCAGTACGCGAGGGACCGATCCGCGAGCACGGGGCCCTCGATGCCGCGCTCGGGGCGCCGCGTCGTCTCGTTGACGGTGAAGGGGTCCGCCGCGGTCGCCAGCACGGTTTTGGCCGCCACGGAGCCGGTGGGCAGGTCCACCCTCAGCAGCACCAGGCGCGACCCGGCCTCGTCCGACAGGGCGGCGGCGACGCGCGTGCCCTCGCGGCCCGACGACTCGAGGTCGCAGTGGCGCACCTTGACGGCCCTCTCGAGCTCCACCGCCTTGAACTGGCTGCAGACCGCGTCGAGGCAGATGCCGAGCGAGAGGGCGCGGCCGCCGCTCGACGTGTGGCAGAGGACTGGCCGCGAGGAGCGGTGCGCCATGCGCATCCGGATGAAGCGCGGATCGCCGTCGGCGCCAGAGACGAGCGTCGGCGGGTGGGACCAGCCCTCGCACGACGAGCCGCCGCACCTCGCGAGCCGCAGGCCCGCCTCGGGCTCGACTGCGTTCCAGCAGAGCGTGACGTTGCCGTCCGCGCCGCTCCGCGCCTGGGTGTACCGGCCCGCGCCGCGGTCGGCGATTCGCGGCGCTCGAACGGGTGACCAGGGCGGCGGCGCCATTGACGGTAGCGTGTTGGGCTGCAGCGAGGCCCTCGTGGGCTGCAGCAGCAGCAGGGGCAGCAGCAGCGAGGCCGTGGGCTGCAGGAGCGGCAGCGGCGGCCTGGACATATGAGGAGACATCGTTTCAGAAGAAGAACGAAAGCGTAGTCGCGTTCTTACTTTACGTGTGCGCTCCGCCGGCGGTCGGCGGCGGCTCAGGGTCGGCTTGGGGCCCGGCTCGCCGCGCCGTGGCCCGCCGGGAGGCCTCGGAGAGCATGTACTCGGAGAGCATGATCGGACGGGCCGCTCGACGGATGAGTCACGGAAACTTGGCCTCGGCGCGTAGCTTGAGGCTGTCAACAAATATCTCTTTAACAAGCGTTGCCTCTTTATTTACATTAATGAAGGTCCTTGGGGTGCAGCGGTGCTCGTGGGTGCTCGTGGGGGGTCAATGTGCGCCAAAAGAGGATGCCAGGCACCGTGGGGGGTTAATGTGCGCCAAAAGAAGATGCCGGGCACCAGGATCGAACTGGTGACCTCTGGGTTATGAATCCAACGCTCTAACCAACTGAGCTAGCCCGGCTCGATCTGGCAGCCACTCGATCGCGCACGGTGCCGCGGCGGCGTGCGCTTCGAGTGCGGGATGCTGGATAGGGGAGGCCAGCTCCGCACCCGCCTATATAGTTGAAATGTGAATTTTTCGATTTTTTTTTTAGATTTTAAAGCAAAGGAACGTGTGTAGATGGTGTGGTGTGTTTTTGGAATGGTTTGGAATGTATTTTCGGTGTTTTATGTATGTAAAAGAGGGATCGTGAATGTTGGACGGAGGGTGGACGTGTCCAGGGGGGGGTCAAGGGGGGGGTGGAGAAGAGGGGGGGGTATTGTATGTAAAAGAGGGGATGCGAATGTTGGACGGAGGGTGGACGCGTCCAGAGGGGGGGTCAGGGGGGTACGGCAGTTTTGGATTTTGCATCTCGGCTGCATCCAATGGCGTGAGAGATGGGCGACCTAAAATGGGCGGCCCCGAATCACAGACACGTCAACAAGGACAGCGACGGCATCGTTGGTGGAGCGCAGGGGCGAGGGCGTCGACCGACGGGCGGCGCACCAGGACTCCAGGAGGTCGCGGAACGACGGGTCGAGCCCCTCCGCCAATCGAGGCGGCGGTCGAGACGGTGAGCGGCTGACGTCCTCGCGGGTGGCGCGGAGTACGGCCGACACTACGTGCTGCGGCAGCCCGCGGAGCCGCAGGAGGCGCGGCGGAGCGGCTGCGCGTGGACGCGACGGCGAGGCTGGCCGGGCACGCTGTCATCGAGATAGGCACGCACGTCGAGATCCTAGGCGAGCAGGGGTGGTGGCCGGCCACCATCACGTGGCGGGAGGTAGGTTCGGGCGGCCGGCTCGTGTGGATGCGGTCGAGTACGACGGCTACCCGGACGCCGAGCCTCTCCTCTCCTTAGAGGAAGAGACGTGGAGGCAGGTGACGCTCGGCGCCGGCGGCGCGGCCCCTAATACCAGCGGCGAGGCGAGCGACGGCGAGAAGAGCGACGGCGAGACTGGGGACGCGCTGCCGTCCAGCGCGACCAACGTCGGCGGCGCGGTCGATACCGGCGGCGAGGGGAGCGGCGTCGAGAGGGGCGGCGGCAGCAGCCGGGATGGCCAGCGGCGCCACGTACGTCGCACGCGGCGGCGGTAGCCGGGTACGGGTGCGGTAGGTCATATACAGGGGGGTGCGGTCGTGAGGCTCTCTGTACGGTATCGTACGGCTCTACAGTATGAGAGGCGTGTCTGATACCTTCTCGAAATGGCGGGAGCGCTGCTCGGGGATGGAGAGGGAAGTGGGTGCCCTCTGTAAGATCTCAAGCTCGAAATAGAGAATTTTCAGAGACGTTTGGCGTAGGGACCTGGCTTGCGGCAGCGAGGTGGCATGCACACGCTAACAGGGTCATGCGCGCAAGACTTGGCCAAAAGTGAGGAGAGGGTTGTCGCTGTCGCCGGGAGCGCGATCTTCCTCGATGCCCTGGGGGGGGGGGGTCCCGACCCCCCCAGCAGCAGAGCGCTGCTGCTGGGGGGGGGGGGGGGGCCCCACCCCCCCCGGACCGGAGAAGCAGAGAAAAAGGGATTGGAACCCGTTTTTCCCCCTTTTTGGGGGGGGCGGCCCCTTCCAACTTGGGTTGGGTTTTAACGGGACCCTCCAGGGGGGTGGGTTCACCCCGCCTTCCAGCCCAAAAAACCTTTCTCGGGGCGAGGGCTGGGGGTTTACTAAAAAATTGGGACCCTGTGAGGCTATGTTGGACCACCCCCCCTAACAGCCGTATAGTGAGCCACTCACTCGGGCGTCTCGGCTGACGATGATCGGTCAGCGTTGATCTCTCTAGCCTATCGGTCCCCCGCTCGATCCTCGGATCGCTCGCTCGTCGAAATCGATCGACTGAGCTTAAGGACTTTTCTTTTTTCGAAACGCGCGCGCGGCCCGTCGCGCGGCAACACTGTCAGGTCCGCCGCGACGCGTCGCCGCAATGGCGGGCAGCGACGTGGTGGAAGCCATGCGGCTCGCCCTCAAGCCGTTTAATATCCAGCACCTCGCCGGCGACTGGAACGCTAACCGTACTTACTTACAGTTGTCGATACAGAGATGCCACTTTGCCAGCACCCCCTAGCAGCTCAGAGCGCTGCTGCTGGGGGGGGGGTCCCGACCCCCCCAGCAGCAGAGCGCTCCTGCTGGGGGGGGGGGTCCCGACCCCCCCAGCAGCAGAGCGCTGCTGCTGGGGGGGGGGTCGGCCATGACTTTAGATGTGCAGGGGGGGTACCGAGCAGTGTGCGGCCACTCACACTGGTCTGACAGCAGCAGCAGCCTGGCAGCTCTGACAGCTCCGACAACGCCTGACAGCAACACGCGACAGCTCCGACAGCACCTGACAGCTACAGAGCACCTCGCCTGTCAGACAAGCACCGGACAGCACCCGTCAGCACTGACAGCACTTGACAGCTGGTCTGACAGAGGCACTTGACAGTGCCTGACAGTGCCCGAAAGCCCGACAGATCACCTGACAGGGCTGGTGGACTAACGTTAGAACGGTGTTGGTACGTTAACGGCTAACACCACAGCTGCAGAGGTGTTAGAACGTTCTAACACTGCCACTCGGGAGGTGTTGGCACGCTCCGTTAGGCGGGCGGCGGGGCGGGATGGGACCGCGCGATGCGATGTGTGCCTGCCTGCCAGCCTCCGCGTACTGCTCCTAGCCAGGGTGGCGGGCCGTCTAGCCTAGGCTGTCCGCCGCCTCGGCACCGCCCTCGCGCCGAGTGCGTCCAAACTAGGACGCGGTAAGCGGGGTACAGAGTTGGTGTACAGCGCGCTCGTCTCGTTGTGTGCGTGAGTCATCTACTTGGACCCGCCTGTCTGGGGAGGGTAGGGGCTGTTGCTGCCCTTTGTTTTAGTATGTAAAGAACGCGCATGTAGCATATTATTCACTTCACACCCGCAGCTGCGATTGCGAACATGTCCCATGGATGGGGTCCCTATGTCTAAGTTCATTATCGTATCCCTCGTGCTCGACGCCCTCCTCAAAGTGTCGGCAATCGCCGCATCACATCCTCCTCTTCCGCCTTTCGATACTTCTTGAGCGCATTCTTCAGCGGCGTCTTGCCCCACAGTTCTCGTACAGCTCCTCGAGCGCGTGTCGATGAATCCAGCGTCATTGCTGTCCTCTTTGAAGGTGCCTCGCGTGAGGTAGCACATGGCCTTGTCGGCAGCAGCCAGCCTGTTGCGCCGCTTCTTTGCGATGAGTTGCTCGGGCTCGCAGAAGCGCATGCCGAGCACTGCCTCAATCTTGAAGCAGAATGTCGGCACGACCGCATCGTCCGCACCGCCACCTGCCAGCCGCGCCTGGCGCAGCGCCGATGCTGCCTTTTGGCACCGGTAGCGAGCGCACATGGTGCCACCTTGTGACGGTGCCCTGGCAAAATCGTCCCGATTTCGATGCGCGATTTAGCTAAGTCCCAGAGCCGTTTACGCATGAGCGGGCCCCCTCACCAGCCTAGGGCTCGCGCTTCTGGCCCGAGGTGTCGCCGCTGCCTCCCGCGCCCTCCGGCGCCTGCTGCTACTGCCGGTCGGCCGGTCGGGTCCGCGCGACGGCTCCATCCTCGAGACGTAGCGGTCGCTGAGCGCTTTCTCGACCGCTACGTCTTCCAGTGCACCCACCCACCGCGACCCTCGAACCTGCGCTGCGCGGCGCAGTTGCTGCCGAGCGAGACGCCCCCGCCCGCGCAGGGGCGGCATCACCAGACGCTACCGCATGGCCGAGCAGCGAGCAGTGTGTGCCGCAGTGCCCGTCCGGGCCCTCTTGCAGCTGCCTCTATTGGGCGTAAACCGCGGATATAAGGGTCTATACGGAGGTGGGTGGCCTCTTAGAGGTATGGGAGCCGCTGGCACCGCGCTGGGCGCCGCGGATGCACGTACGAACGAACATTATGAAATCGGGACGATTTTGACCCAAAAATCACAAGGTGGGTGCGCGTACTTGAGCAGGCGGTGCGAGCCGCAGTTGGCGCAGGGGCCCTGGGAGTAGGGCGCGCGCGGCATTGACGCGGACCCACAGGTATTTTTCGGGTATACCTGGTTTTTTGCAGGTATACCCGGGTTTTACCCGGAGGGTGTCGGCCAACACCGTTCTAACGGCGTGCTAACACTTGTTTTGGGACTGCCGTTAGACTGTGCTAACACCGACCTTTGCGCCAAGTGTTGGCACGATCTGTAGTCAGTGCTCCCCCTGAGGTGTGCTAACGTTAGTCCACCAGCCCTGTCACCTGACAGCACCGGACAGCCTGACAGGAAGGGCTCAGGGCGGCATGGTGCGCACGTTTGTGCAACGGGGCAACCTCATAGTAGTGCAGGATGGGGGCTCACTGGGCTGGATTGTTCGCTTTGGCACCTGGAACATGCGCTCGCCATCGTCTACAGTGATGAGGGCATGAGGCGGAATCCGACTGTTGGACTGGAGGTTTTAGTGCAGCCACTCGATCGAAGGCCCCCGCACGGGGGGTCCCGGCCGACGTCATGCGCGTCCGCCAGGGGTCCAGGGTCGCCCAGGCAAGTGGCCCAAATCCGGTGAGTTTTCCAAGTGTGAACA